ACCTATTCTGTCTTGCAAATAGTTGTTGCTACTACGTATGATGGGAGCTTCCATGTTTAATCTGAAGATACTTAAACGTACGCGCCATCTCGTGGCAACTTTCATAACGATCCCAACGAACATTCTTTTGAGAAGGTTCCTGATACCATCCCTGTGCATTCCACTGTTTCGGCGTGTATGTGAACACATTTGGGACTAACAGGGTTTACTAGAATCCCTCCACTCCACCACAGAGTCACCGCAGTAGACGTTAGATGAGCGCTGTCGCTATGCGGCACTTGTTTTCTTTACCGGTCATTTTCATTCCTGATTATGGCTAACCCTGCATTAGCTAAAATCTATGATTTATAAGACTATATCTGCAACAAAGATATTTATCATGTGAATGGCTTGTTAACGATTTGCAAATTGATGTAAATTGTTATATAAATTCACAAGAATGGATTGTAAAAAAAAAAGAAGTTTTATTGCTAGAATGTAATTATAGATGTTACCACACATAATGAGGCATCTCTGTCTCTAGTCTGCATGGCAAATCCTTCAGATGTAGACAGAACAACAATCTTGTAAATTAAATAAACCGAGCTGAATATATTACTGTGCCCTCGTATATGAATAAAACTAGATTTTTCACACACATACAGATAACTCTTGATTCACGTGTTTGAGTTGTTTTTAGAAAAACTATTGATCAATTGACACTTTTAAAAAATTCACTTGGAGCTACATTTATAATAGTACGATTACCAACGTGCAACCACCAAACAATATCATCGTCTGGCTGGCATCACAGGGCCTATACGAGAAGTTCGTGTCAGATTGGTATAGGAACGTGGGTTGCTGCCTTTGGGCTCGTAGCAGGTGGATAATCTAGATCTATAGTCGTGTCGATAAGTCTAAACCTCAAGTACAGTATTTTATTTTGTGCTGAAATTCCATGTGCAAGCATACTGTAGTTTCCACTATAGCAACCTTTGGTTGGTATAGACCCACACCAACTGGGTGTTGTCTCATTGTGAACCTGACCCCCTAAGGCCCTAACCTACACTGTTTTAATGTTATATTTACTCGTTTATGATGTATATGGCCATTTCCAAGAACCTAATTACTCCACAGATCAAGAGTTAACCGCACATGCAGCAGAGCAGCAGTAACTATTCGGAGATGTCTCATTGATGGCGACAGGGTATTCCTGTGCGAATCCAACAATGACCGATCATCACGATCTATTATCGCATTTCTGTTTATCGGTCACACATCTAATTACTCGTCACGTGTCCATGGGTGTGTGTTTTACGTAGGATGCATAATAATCGAATCCAAGAGATATCACATTATCGTAAAGCACTCGATAATGCGTCGGCAGTAGCATGAAATTCACCATCTGTGCCGGCGGCCACACGAGCAGTTCGGCTGTCCACAGTTTCTGCCCCTTGAAGATTGTTTCGTTTACCATGTGCCTGGCACCGGTACCTTCCAGTAGACCCAGTGTGACGAAGAACACCGACCACATCACTGGTGAGAATATCACCTGGTCGGCTACCATTTTCTTGAGAACAATCGGTAGCGCTCGACCGGGAAGTTTCCTGTCTAGGAACAGGTACCACCAGTGGCAGCCAAAGCCGACCGTCATACCGGAGGTTGCCAGGTGGCGCGTGCGTCGTCGATCCCACGCCACGTGCCTTCCCTGCGACATCTGGTAGTGCTGCTGAAGGACGTCACCTGCCGCTGACAGTGTCATGCTGATCCCAACGTTTGTCACCAGTAGATACTTGGAAAATAGTACCCGTGTCGTTTTCCTGGCACTCCTAAAGGCAGCGGTGCCACGCAGGATTCTTAGTAGTGAGGCCATTTGTGCTTTGTTAGAGAGTGACTATGGCTTACTGAAAAGATTAGAAAATAAACGTTTTGGTTAGGCGAAAACAAAATATGTGTGTGGTTACCATTACATGCCGAAAAAAATAGGGTAGGTAGGTAGGTAGGGAATTCATTTTTTTTCAAATATTTTTTTTTTACAATTTTTATTTTTTGACTATTGAAATTGAAATAAATTGAATTGAAATTGACAATAAAATGTTTAGGGTCGCTGGGAATAAATAGGGTCGGTCGGAAAACCGTAACCACACCTATATTTTGTTTTGGCCTTGGTTTTTTGTTTTACACTGAAATAACCAGTACAATATCTGTTTCGTTGATATATTCAAACTGGTGTGCATGATTTTAGTACTGCCTACTGGCAGTAGGCCTACTGAGTACTGACTACTGGTATCACTTCAGCACTAAAAATCAGTGATGCTTTAGACGTCTTACTCCATTGATAGATCATCTAACTAGATCATGTATTATTATCAGTTAGGAATATAGCATTAACATTATTCGGCAATCACATGTGACTATACATAATAGTATTAATAATACTAATGTATCATGTAATCCATTGGCATTGTTGACACGAAGGAGAGTACATGCAGATGTTGCACCGCAGAGTGGGCATTCGGCATTTCATTTGATTTATTATTAGTATTACTATTACTATTAGTATTACTAGTAAGTAGTAGTAGTATTAGTATTAGATCTTATTACGGCGGGTTACATAGTCATAGGGACATTATCGACAACACACACACACTGGCAGCAAGAACAAGTCGGCACCTACAGCTACAGCACACATGCGGCCATTGACTATATTATATATAACAACACTCCATCAGTTGTTATATATATAATAATATATAGTCTATACTAATTACTATAGAGTATAGTCAATGGCCGCGTGTGTGCTGTAGTGTAGCTGCAGGCGCCGACCTTGTTCTTGCTGCCAGTGCACACACATATCTCGTTTCAACAATTTACTTACAACGTTCCATAGTCAAACTCCTGGTCCTGTTCCTGAGAACAATATATACATGATAATTGATATATGTATTGCTCTCAGTCTTGTTCCAGCGGTCTCACCAGCCTCTCAGCAAGCGGTAAGCAGTGCACGCTGCCATGTTGCGGTGAATGTAAAGTTTTGTTGCGTGCTTGACAACAACGATAAGGGAAATGTACATATAATATTATTAAATATTTATTAATTTATTTCTTTAAAACTATAATTTATTAATATCGAATATACGTATTTCGTAATTAAAATTTATACGATACTTTATCGTATTTTCTATAAAGTGAACCAGAAAATATGTTGCAGTAAGCGCGTTTTTCCAAGTACTGAAATCGGTAACAGATGAACAGCAATATGTTTCTACATATATGCGCCTATAATTCGTTTAGAAAGTGTTTATTTTAACGCAAATAACTAGACTCACGGTTACTGCTGGTGCTGCAAGTGACGACACTTATTACAATACGTGTAATTTTTGTATCACGGTATGTATTTAATAAATATTTAGATCAATTTTTACCACATTATGATTGTGATTGATTCATGATTGTTACTGTCACTCACTCACTGTCAGTGTCAGTTTGTCAGGGCCGCGCTGTGTGCGAACTGCAGTGTTGCTGTTCCGTGTGCAGACTAGCCCGTATGAAATCGGGAGTACTTGCAGCATTGACCGCAAACATTAAAAATAATGATAACAAATAATTAACTTTTTTTCAGTTCACACCGACGGTATCTACCAGATTAAGACGCACGTGAATCTGGTAACTCGACGATCGCCCGTGCTACTGTTGTTGGGAAAGAATACAAATGCTCGCAGAGAACTCGTGAATCATGCCTATCGATGAAGCTGCTGCAGCTCGGCCAGGGGATGGGTACGCCGAAGATGCCCCGAAGAGCGAGAGTGAGGGCGAGGCACGAAGAACACGCAGCAAGCATAAGAAGAAGCACAAGAGACACCGTCGGGAGAACCGAATCGACGCCGCGGAAGGCGACGGCGCCGACGACGGAAAGGCGAACAGCGGCGGAGAAGATGTGACCGTCGCCAGGAAGAAACACCGCAAACACAAGCACAGTCGCGCGAGGCGAGATCGCCCGCGCAGCGGCGACGACGACGACGGCGCGGCGTCACACTCCGAGCCTCCACAGAGAAGCAGCGTGATCAGCGTGGTGCACCGCGTCCCGCAAGCGGCGCCCCCTGGTGTCGCGAGCGGCGATTCTGATCACAAGGAGTCGGCCGACGAGCGACGAGACGACCGGGAGGAGGCGGAGACCAACGAGAAGAAGAGAGGCGAGACCGCGGAGAGGAGCGACGACGGAGAGAGGAATGATGTCGCAGGAGAGGATCGAAACGGGAGCGTGAAGAACAGGAGGAGGTCGCCAGCGAGCGACAACGCGGAGGAGGATCGAAACAGCAGCGTGAAGAACAGGAGGAGGTCGCCAGCCAGCGACAATGCGGAGGAGGATCGAAACAGGAGCGTAAAGAACAGGAGGAGGTCGCCAGCGAGCGACAACGCGGAGGAGGATCGAAACAGCAGCGTGAAGAACAGGAGGAGGTCTTCGGAAAGCAGCCACAACGACGACGCGAACCACGAGTCCGGAAGGCGGCAGGACGATCGCGAACGGCGCGACTACAGGCGATTGCGGGATGAGCGTCACCACGACGACCGATCGAGGTATCGCCACGACGACTGGCCGAGAGACTATCGCGACGACCTGGAGGACTACCGGAGGCAGCGCGGCTTCGACGGTCGCGGACGTGACAGGAGAGATTACGGCGGGCGACGGCAGAACGGCGGCTACGACCGGCGCGACGCTCCGCGACGACACCGCTCCCCTGAGCGTCGCGATCCACGCAGGAACGACGCTGACGGTAGCAGCAGGCGTGAGGAGGGAAGAGACAGGGATAGAAGGGAGGGGAGAGAGCCGAGAGACAGGGCAAGGGCGAGCAGGGAGAGAGAGGGAAGCGCCGACGAATCGGGAGAGAAGAGAAAGCGCAGCAGCCCGGAGGAAGCTGGCGGCGCGACGGAGAAGGACGGGAAACCGGAATCCGCCGCCGCTGCTGCCCCTGCCGAACCTACCGCGAAGAAGAAAAAGGTCGAGGACATCTTGACGATGAGGACGGGCGGCGCGTACATCCCGCCGGCGAGGCTGCGCGCGATGCAGGCGCAGATAACGGACAAGTCTAGCGTCGCCTACCAGCGGCTCGCGTGGGAGGCGCTCAAGAAGAGCATCCACGGCACCGTGAACAAGATCAACGTCGCAAACATCGGCACGATCGTGCGCGAGCTCTTCCAGCACAACATCGTGCGCGGCCGCGGCCTGCTCGCGCGCTCCGTCATCCAGGCGCAGGCGGCGTCGCCGACGTTCAGCCACGTGTACGCCGCCCTGGTGGCGATCATCAACACGAAGCTGCCGCACGTCGGCGAGCTCATCCTGCTGCGACTGATCATGCTCTTCCGCAAGGCGTTTCGGCGCAACGACAAGGAGGCGTGCCTGACGGCGAGTCGCTTCGTCGCGCACCTCGTCAACCAGCAGGTGGCGCACGAGGTGCTCGCGCTCGAGATGCTTACGCTGCTGCTCGAGAACGCGACGGCCGACTCGGTCGAGGTGACGATCGGCTTCCTGAAGGAGTGCGGCGCGAAGCTGACGGAGGTGTCGCCGCGCGGCGTCAACGCGATCTTCGACCGGCTGCGCTCCGTGCTGCACGAGGGCGGTGTCGAGAAGCGCGTGCAGTACATGATCGAGGTCGTCGCTCAGGTGCGCAAGGACGGCTTCAAGGACTTCCCCGCTGTCGTGCCCGAGCTCGACCTCGTCGCCGAGGAGGACCAGTTCACGCACACGCTCACGCTCGAGGATACCGGCGACGCGCAGACGCAGCTCGACGTCTTCCAAGTCGATGCGGACTTCGAGGCGGCCGAGGAGAAGTACGCCGACATCCGCCGCGAGATCCTCGGCGAGGGCAGCGACGACGACGAGGGAGGCAGCGGGTCCGACGACGACGACGACTCGGAGGATGAGGAGGGTGCGAAGACGACGGTCGTCGACGCGACGGAGACGAACCTCGTCGCGCTGCGGCGCAGCATCTACCTGACGATCCAGTCGAGCCTCGACTACGAGGAGTGCGCGCACAAGCTGCTCAAGCTCGAGCTGAAGCCCGGCCAGGAGACGGAGCTCTGCCACATGATCCTCGACTGCTGCGCGCAGCAGCGCACCTACGAGAAGTTCTACGGCCTGCTCGGGCAGCGCTTCTGCGCGATCAACAAGGCGTACGTGGCGCCGTTCGAGGCGATCTTCGCGCAGTCGTACGAGACGATCCACCGGCTCGAGACGAACAAGCTGCGCAACGTCGCCAAGTTCTACGCGCACCAGCTGTTCACGGATGCGATCGCGTGGTCGGCGCTACAGCACGTGCGCCTCACCGAGGACGACACGACGCCATCGAGCCGCATCTTTATCAAGATCCTCTTTCAGGAGCTCGCCGAGTATATGGGCCTCGCGCGGCTGAACGAGCGGCTCGGCGACCCGACGCTCGTCGCGCACTTCGAGGGCATCATGCCGCGCGACCACCCGCGGAACACCCGCTTCGCGATCAACTTCTTCACGTCGATCGGGCTCGGCGGCCTGACGGACGACATGCGCGCTCACCTGCTCAACGCGCCGAAGGCGATCATGGAGCAGACGCAGGACGTCGACTCGACGGACAGCGACAGCAGCAGTGACGACGACAGCAGCAGCAGCAGCGACAGCTCTGACAGGTGAACGAGGCTTTGGAAATGAATCCGAAAACCTGGCCGGTCTTGATTTTCGATAAACATTTGATTTCTATTACTGTATAAGCTGTATATTTTGCGGTGGTTTAATTTTCGCGAATTTTGCGAACGCGTCCCCAACTGCGAAAATAACAACACGCAAATAATGCCTACCGAATAATACCGAATAATTCATAATTCACCGACTGCGAAATTAACCACTCGCGAAATTGTCCGTCAAGTAAATATCTGGACGCGAAAAATACGGCTTATAGACAGTATGTATGTAACCTGTTGTATAATGCAATAAAAGTAAGACAGTCTTGCTAAAAGGTTACCAGCAACAGACTGGGAGATGGGGCACTGTTTCCAACACTGTTAAACGTATTCGATTCGACCTGTCATCAGCGGAACAGCGATGAAATGCAGCATTCTTGTTATGAGATGCTTTCGTCATTCGTGTCTTAGCCAACGGGGAGCAACTTTAAGTTTCCAAGTTGTCGACGCATTGTGGAAGTCGATAGATGTGGTCTACCGGCACTATTAAAATGTGAAATACGTTTGTCTAGTATCAGTCTTAATGCAACATGCGATGAATGTTTCGGTAAATATTGCCTTGCGTTTTCTGTGTCATAGATACTGATTCTGTATTTGTTTCCCGTCGCAGCAGCAGCAGCAGTAGCAGCGACAGCAGTAGCAGCAGTTCGGACGACAGCGATTCGTCGTCTTCATCGTTGTCATCCGATTCCAGCGACTCGTCCTCGGAAGAAGAATCCAGAAACAACGTCAAACGCAAGTCGTCGACGACGACGACGAAGAAGAAGAAGAAGCAGAAGAGGAAGCCCGAGTCGCCCGCGAAGAAAAAGAAAAAGCAGCAGCAGCCGCAACCGGAGAAAAAGAAGAAGAAAAGGAGGAAGAGGAAGCGCGGCTCGGATAGCAGCTCCGGGGAGGAAGCCGCAGAGGACGGCAACAACCGTGAGGCCCAGAAGGGGGTTGAGGAGATGATCCGGGACCGGATGTACCTGGAAGCGATGGGCGAGGCGAGGAAGCCTGCACCCAAGCCGAAACCCGACCGCGAGACGAGAGAGCGGCGTCCCGACGACGCGCGCGACCAGGAGAGGAGGCACGAGAGGAACGGCGACGGGAAGAGAGCCGACGGGGATGACGGCAATGACCGGATGCGGAAAACGCACGAGGGTCGCCGGTCGAGCAGGGGTGAGGGCGACGAGCGGAGGCAAGGGAGAGAGAAGCCGTTCGAGGGCGGCCGAAGCTCGCCGGTCGCTCTCGGCGAAGACGGAGGTAGTCACCGGCGAAATCGCTCGCGAGACGGGAGCGGCAGGCGGGGGCGGGACTGATGGTAAGATTCCCCCATCGCGCCGTCGTTGATGGTGCCTTGCGAAAGTTTGTTATACATCGATTTCTCGTTTTACTTCTAGCAGACCTAGAAGTAAAAACTACTTCTGGTGAGAGAATCTTGCTCCGGATGGCATGGCTCCATCGTTCGTGACGGTATGTCGGCACCTATTTTCGTGTTTGTATTGTTTACACAGGACAGCAGGACACGTTCTGTAGTCGGCGTCCCAGCAAACCATCCGTAACCCAGTGAAGTCACGTGCCGTTACTAGTGGGGCGTTCTAAAGGGATGCTGTTCATCTCTGCCGATCCTGTGTTCTTATATTGATAATGATTGTGCCGTATTGTTTAGTGACTGTAATGATCGTTTTGTGTTCGATTGTAAATAGAGACAGCGATCGTGCATTGACAGCACACGCTCACGTAAATCATTGAGCAGGTTCAGGAGTCAGCGAGTTATACGGATAGAAAGCTTCACTCCAACTTCGTAACTTTTTTATGAAGTTTTTGGTTTCACTTTTGATTACGTCAGCAAGTGGGAGCGGTTTGTACGTGGAGAAAATTGTGCGGTTAACTTTCACACACTTGCCGTGTTAATAGCACTGCGCAAGTGTGGTTGATAGTTGTATATATAGCAGTACATCCTAATAAGGCAATCTAATACAGTTCCTCTATAGTTATGTCTAAGTAGCTAGCTTGTCTCATATGTTCGTGCATTTATAAGATTAGATCAGCCTTCAGCCAACCTAAACTTCTGTCAAATACGTGTTAGCAGACATCCGTCTGTAAATGACACCTTTGGCATTTCTCTTTAGTGGCCGTTATACAGAGAAACCAGCTCTATAGAATAGGCCCTTACATACACAGCGGTCGTATTCTGGCTAACGCTCCATTAGGAGTGTTCCCAACTTTGATATCATTAATGATTAATGATTGATAATCATAACCCTAACCTAAATGACATTAAACCACAAACTAATATATGACCATGACCATGACCATGACCATGACCATATATATATATATGTTATTATGACCATTAATGACATTAAAGTTGGGAACACTCCTAATGGAGTATCACCCCGTATTCTTCTACTAGTCTTCGTAGCAAACGTCATGTAAAGGCGTGATGTGTAAATATCTGGACTTTTTATCTACCGCTGATCTGCAGGTATTCTTCCTGCGGTGTAAAATGGATGGTAAACTTGGTTACTCTACAACTTGTTGGAGTCAGTACCATCAGGTACTATGTCATACAATTTCTGTATGTTACATCTGTTTGCATGGCAAAGATATATCTTGTGTGCATTTCTTTGTCGCGTAAAATGTAAAGGTAACATGTGCTTTTTTTCAATAAAAATTAAGCAAAAAACACGAAATTTATATACAATTTTTCATGTATTATATGCAAACATAAATGCAAATCATTGGCTCATATTATATAATGACCGGAAAAATAGTACCTAATAAAACCGGAATTAGAGAACGAAGAATAGGACCAAATAATAAAGCACTATGTGGTCAGATATTTTCAATGTTGTACAGAACTGTATTACAGAACTAGGATATATGCACACAAAAATTACAACAAAATGCAACTGAAATATTACAGTAGCCAAGAATTACATACGACGACATCTTAATGAAGTTACTACGGATGTTGATACAATACCACCTACTTAACTAAATAATTATGCACAAGATAGCAAAATGTGATTATTACACCAAGTCTTGTTATCAAGAGCACAAACTCTTTATTTTATAGTTTATGTTCTTGATATTTGTTATACATATATGTCTTCAATCATTTCAAATATTTTTCCGGTCCCATACATATATAGTCTAATCATGCACACACTAATACAGGTATGCTGGATGAAATATGACATGTACTGAAAAATTGTACTCTTTATTGCCCCTGAAGATAGTTTATTCCAATTACAAGGTAAACTCCACCTCATACTATAGTGCTTAATTAATCTATATATAATATATGAACTCATATACGACGGTATTCCTATATTTAGTAAGTCTACCATCATATAGGAACCTCGTTTGTTCGATGTTCTAATCAGAATACAATAACTATAATATATACTATACAGTATACAGTAAAGCCAATGTCAATGAGCGCACCCGAACCCTCGATCTCCGCCTCTTCAATTACACCGATCTGGATGAATGAGCACACAGTAAAATGTAGAAATCTGCCAAATTCTCCACCAAAAAAAAAGTTACATTCAGAACCGGCAGTCTGGAAGATTGGGGATCCGGCCAGATCCTAGTTTCGTTGCACGCCTATCTACCACTAACTTCAACTGCGCAACTATACGTCAACACCACCGGGTGATGGCAGCGTATGAAGAGAGTCACGTGCAGACACAACTCTCGCTGTTACCACGCCTTCGAAAAAACAATACCGACACCAGCTATCAAACTCCCCCCCCCAAAAAAAAACCCGCGGTCGAAACCCGCCTGAGTGGCAATGGCGACCGTTCGCCGTTCTTCTCAGACGACCGCCGCGAGCACGGCAGTCGTCGCATCCCCGCTGCCTCCCATCTCCGCGGCGACCGCCTCCTCGTCGCCCACGGCAACCGCCTCCTCGTCGCCCGCGGCTGCCACGTTGTCGCTGACTCGCTCCTGCAGCGCGTCGCCGTCGCGCATTGCCGTCGGGTTGATCGTCACGGACTTGGTCGCGTCGTGCGTCTTGTAGATTCCGACGAGCCGGTCGGCGAGCTCGAACATGTTGTTGCGCAGCGAGATGACGAGGAACTGTGCGTTCTTCGTGCGCTCCTTGATGTAGTTGCCGACGATGGAGACGTTGCGGAAGTCGAGCGCCGCGTCGATCTCGTCCATCACGTAGAGCGGCGTCGGCCGGTAGTGGTGCAGGGCGAAGACGAGCGCGAGCGAACTGAGCGTCTTCTCGCCGCCCGACAGATTCCCGATGTTCTTCCACGACTTCTTCGGCGGCCGCACGCTGAACACGATGCCCTCGGCGAACGGGTCGAGCGTGTCGACGAGTTCTAACTCCGCATCGCCGCCGAGCGTGATCATCTGGTACATCTCGCGCAGCCGGCTCGTGATCGCCGCGAATCCGGCCATGAACTCGTCGAGGCGTCGCCGGCGGAGGTCCTCGTGGAGGCGTCGACGGGCATCGCGGCTTCGCGTGATCCCGTCCAGCTCCCCGACGCGGCGCAGGTAGGCGTCGCGCTTGCGCGCGTACTCGCCGATCGCCGCCATGTTGGGTGACATGCGCTGCAGCAGCTCCTCCTGCACAGTGAGCGCGTGCTGCATGTCGTCGCGATCCATCGCGTCCAGCTCCTCCCTCGTGAACTCCGCCGGCAGCGGCTCCTCCTCCTGCTTCTCCGCCCCGGCATCATCGGGTTCGGCCTCGATCGCGGTGAGCGAGAGCGAGGCGATGTTGCGCTGCCAGTGTCTCACCTGCGCGCGGCTCTCCTTCACCTGGTGCTCGTAGGTCTCGAGTTGGTCTCGCGCATGCACAGCGTCCTTCTCCATCTGCATCATGGGTGTTAAAAAAAAAATGGGCGTTGAGAAAAACTATAGAACACCTTTGGTGACATTTCCTGATAAGATAAAACACTATTATACAAAAACATAACAAGCAAGCAGTTAACAATGATTAAGATAATTAGATGCAATTAACTTTTTTTTAAATTGCAATTTTTCTCACGATGGAAATCCGTCTACAGACGGACAACAGAACTAACACCTGTGTACCTGCAGGCAATCATCGTCCAGCTCCTTGAGCGCGGCTCGGAGCTCACGCGCCGTCTCCCCCGCCGCCGCCCGCTTCGTCGCTGCTTCACCTTTCTCCTTCACGCACGTCTCAGCGCTGCTCTCCACCTCGGCCTTCAGCTCGACGAGCTTGTCGTAGTGCGCCTTGTTCTCCTCCATCTCCGTCTCCGTCGACTTGATCCGGTCGCCCGACTTCTTGATGTTGCGATTCGCCGTCGTTATGGCGACCTTCGCCTTGGTGACGGAGCCGTCGATGTCGCCAATGGCCGCCGTCGCCGCGTCAACGGCGCGCTGCGGCTTCTTCGTGCGCGACGCCGTGATCTTCATGATCTCGGAGCGCAGCGCCGCGACCTCGGCCTTGACCTCGGCGCGCGGGCTTTTACTCCTTCTTCATTCCCAGCTTTCCACTTCTAGCCTCTCCCTCACGATCATTCCCTACTCTTCGCCGACTACCTCCCTTCACTTCTCCCTGTCTTTAACCCTCTTCCCCTACTTCTTCTTCTCTTTGTTCGCTCCTATCTTCTTCCCCCCCGCTGTCTACGATCCCTCACCTCCACCTTTATTCAGCGTTCGTCTCCCAACTCCTCCTGGCTCTCTTTTTCCTCCTCCTCCCTTAGCCGACTCTCTGCCTCCTTCGTCTTTTATCTTCCTGCCAAACAGCTGCTCACGCATCACTCTTGCGTCGTTTAGAACGCGCGCGGTCGGGAGCGTCGCCCGCAGCCAGTCGACCGCCGCGTCGATCGGCCATCGCGCGCGACGGCGCGCTCCGCCGTCTGCGCACTGCCCCGCCGCCAGCGTCGCCTCGGTTTGTCGGCGCCCGACCGCCGTTCTCGTAGCGGTGCTTCTCGAGCTCGCGTTCGCATGCGCTCGAGGGTCGCGGCGCAGGCTCCTCGCCTTTGCCGCGATCCTCCAGCTGCCAGCTTGCCCGGCATTCCGCGCAGGCCGGGGCCCGCCAACCCCCTTTTCCTTTTTTTCCCCGGTCGCGCTCCAGCTTGCATCCTCCAATCATCGCGCAGCCGCATCGGCGCGCGCGTTCCGGGTCATCGCCGCCGCCCTGCGCTGTGCGGCCATGCCTGGCCCATCTCCTCTGCCCCCCCCCCCCCCCCCCCCCCCCCCCCCCCCCCCCCCCCCCCCCCCCCGCACCTGCTTCGCGCGCCGGCCATCGCCGGACGTCTCGATGACGGCGCGTCGAGCGTGACGACTCGCGCAGTCGGCGCGCCCGCCGCCGTACGCGATGCGGCGGCCGCGGGCGAGGTTCAGTCGGCGACGAGCGTGTCGCGCAGCGCGAAGTAGAACGCCGGACGCACGGAGTCGTCGCGCGCGCGCACGAGGTCAAAGAGCCGCGGCGCTCCCTCGGGCGCCGGCGGAGCCGTGTCCATCGTGCGCCGCCAGTGCTGCATCTTGTCGAGGGCGATGAAGGTCGCGTAGCCGACGTTGTTGCGCTTGAGGAACGAGACGCACGCCTGCGCCGTCTCGATCGTGTCGACGACGATGTGTCCGAGCGCGGCGCACGCGCTGCTGATCGCGACGTCGTAGCGCGCGTCGATGCCGCCGAGGTCGCCGAGGCGGCCGACGACGCCCGGCAACACGCCGCGACGCTGCTCGCGCATCAGCGCGTCCAGCACGGCGCTCGTGTTGCGCGAGGCGGCGAGCGCGGCGCGGCACTCGCGCTCCCGTGCCGTCTCGGTGCGTAGCGTCGCCGTCAGCGCCGCCTCCTCGCCGTCGACGCGCGTCAGCTCTCGCTCGCACGTCTCCAGCTCGCGCTCGGCCGCCGGGATGCGCTCCTCGAGGTCGCGCGTCTGCGTCTTCCGCTCGGCGATCGTCGCGACCACCTTCTCAAGGTTCGCGCGATCTGCGTCGAGCCGCGCCTGCGCCTTCTGCTGGTTGCTGAGGCACAGGTCGAGCTCGGACTGCGCAACGTCCATGTGCGACTTTGCGTCGTTGATGGCCGGCTGCAGCTGCAGCAGACGCGCTTCCTTCACGTCCTTGTCGTCCTGAAGCGACTGCGTCTCGCCTTTCAGCGACGCCATCGCCGCCTCGAGGCTCGTCTCGGCGGCCGCAAGCTCCTGCTCCCGCGTCTCGCGCGTCTCCGCGAGCTCGGCGATCTCCGCGGCACGCGCCGCCGGCGCCCCCTGGAGCTCGGCGAGGCGGACGTGCTCGCTTTCGAGCGCCGCCGCGAGCTTCTTGCCCTTCGACTTGGCGTGCTTGATGTCCTCGAGATTCTTCGTGTCGCGGCGGTCGTACTCCTTGAACTCCTCGTCGCACGCGTCGACGCGCGCCGCCGCCGCCGCCTCCTCCTCCTCCACGCTCCGCAGTCGCGCGGCCGCCTTCTCGCGACCGCCATTCACTCGGCGAGCCGCGCCGGCCGCGTCGACGTCGCCAGCGCACGTCGCCGCGCGCCGTCTCCGCGCGATCCAGGTTCGCGCGCGCCCGTCGACGTACTTGTGGTAGAGGCGGTTCTTGGGCGCGCGCGACGTCGTTCTCGAGCCGCAGGAACGCAACGGCCTCGTCTCGCGGGCGCGCACAGCTCGTCCTTTCTCACGCTCGACCGCCTTCACGCGGTTCAGCTTCTCCCCGCGCCCTCGTTGAGCCTCTCGACGCGCGCCGCCAGCTTCTCGATCGGCTCCTTGAAGCGGGCGCTGCCGACGATGTCCGCGGAACTCGAGCATGCCCTCGTCGTGTTCCCCACGGCGCGCGGCTTCATCAACGCAATCTGTTCGACCTCGCCCTGCAGGATGAGGAAGCGGTTGTGGTCGAGGTCGATCGCGCTGCCGCGCAGCAGACGCCCGACCTCGGCGAACTTCACGCGCCGCCCGTCGATCGCGTAGTACGACGTGTTGTCGCGGTGCGCCGTCCGCGAGACGACGAATCGCGAGCCGGGCACGACGTCGTAGGCGTCGCCGGCGCCGTCGACGATCTTCTGGAAGTGCACGCTCACGCTGCAGCTGTCGATGTTGCTGTGCCGCCCGCTGTTGTGGATCAGCATGCCGATCTTCTTCAGCGGATCTGTTCGCGCGGTAGCCGAAGACGAAGAGCATCGAGTCGATGACGTTTCGACTTGCCGCTGCCGTTCGGGCCGACGATGCAGGTGAAGCAATTGTGGAAGGGGCCGAGCACCTGCGTGCCTGTGTGGGGAACAAGACAATGCAGGTGAAGCAATTGTGGAAGGGGCCGAGCACCTGCGTGCCTGTGTGGCGAACAAGACGGACATCAGGCTTCAGATTTGAAAAGTACAGGAGGACTCTAATGACTCCCCTAGGACACACAGGGACTTTTCACGCTCCATAATCACACTTAAGGATGCTGGAGAGCTCGCCACGTAAAATCACACCCTTAAGAGGCATGATGAGAGCTCCACTAAAAAATCACACTCTAAAAGGTCGGCCCAATGTTTAAGATACGACGAAGGGTGTATGAAAGCTGCATTCTCATGGCCTACTGAAACAAGGAGGGCTAGAATTAGTGAAGAAAATTATTTTTTTTCTTTCGCGGGCTCTTTTGCAGAACCCCCGAGATTTCGCGGGCTACTTTTTCAGGTTTCAGGGCTTTTTGGCCACTTTCCAGGGCGATATTTCAGGCTGTTTCGTTCAATGTACACACAAGCCAGCTACTCATACAACACTCGCGGGGGCGCGCCACACACCCACAACATGTCACACGCACGCCCCACGACACAGACAGACACAGCAGACACACCGCCACAGACACACAACGACCCACCAATTTAGCAAGCTGTACAGACAAAACAAGCAATCGATTCAGTCATATATTCAAGACGTTATCATCAGACTGACAGACTAACATGATAATCCACACTCAAAGTCACAACCACAATGCCCTTGATAGTGAATACATCACAAGCTTCAGTCTAAACATCAGAAACTATTACGCCTAGCGCAATAGTGAGTGTCTGCCTAGTAGTAGTACGAGCGAGGAAGATCGACGTTTAGTATGCGAAGTCTCTTGCGGCTGGGGTCAGGGCCCGGCGAAGCCGCGTAGGGGCCGCATAGGGCCGCGAAGCTCAGGGGTTGAGAAGCGGCGCCGTGAGGCACGTGTGTTGGCTGCTGCACATCGACGCTGCGTAGTGCCTGCTGCAGGGGTGGCATTGATTGAAGTACGGGGGGGGGGGGGGAGCGGTGCGCTAGCTAATCACGTACTAAATGTAGGGTTTGGCATTGCTGGACTAATGAGATGAGCGACAGCAAACTCTTTCGGGGAATTGACAAAAAAGCTACAATCGGGATGACAACACGAGTGTGCCGCAAGGCGAAAAATTCGTGTGCATTTCATTTAGGATTTGTGTGGAAGGAATTCCATGGATTTACCGTTCTATAATCCTAGCGGGTCGTTGCCTCGACGGCTCCTACGTAGGCCACGCCCGCAGGACACACCCGCACCGACGCACGGCACGCATGCAGGCACGCACAGCGCACGAGGCACACGCGCAAGCACGCGCACACATGCACGCAGCGCAGGCACACACAGCAAGCCGCCGCGCAGGCACAACGCCGGCACACAGCAGGCACGCACGCACGCAGCACGCAACGCACGCAGGCCCGACACACGCAATGCACGCGGCACAGGCACACGTAATACGCGGCGGGCCGGCGACGCGCGCGATTACTGCAGTCAGGCTCGCGATCCATCTGCAAGCTCTTGGACAGGGAAAACTAGCCTCAAGCCGCCGTGATGCGCAGCGGCTTTTGATGTACACGATCGACTCGATCGCTACGATATATACACGCCAACACACTTTCAGCGTCAAATTACAACAACCACTGGCCAACGTCTGACAATATCAACCCACAGTGAACTAAGCCAGGTTCTTATTGTTAAAGCAAACGTTATATTACAATGGTATTAATGAAGGTATGTTAGTAGGCGTTGGACTCTGGTAAATGAAATTTGTACATTCTGAACCCCTAATATTATTCCTCTCAACGGTTTAGACGTTTCACAAAAATAATCGGACCTGACCCTGGGACTGGTTGAAATCCGGCATTTCCGCGGAATGCGCAGAAGATTATCTCCCGTGTAAAATGAGCCGCTTTTCAACATAATACACCGACTTTGGGGTGACGCGATTCAACCACTTTATGAGCGCGATGTGCGCGCGACATGGCACAATTTATGGTGCGCGGTGGAGCGCGAGCGCGATCGCGTCGCTTAAAATGAAAGCGTGCACATTAGCTGCCGTTGTCAGTGAGAATGGCTCGTGGCGCAGGTGAGCAACACAATAGACAGAGATAAATGGATGGATGGGTGGATCGATGGATTCATGGATGGAGAGAGAGCTAGACACCAAACTAGCTAGATATAATAGGCAGGTAGATTGACAGATAATAGATTTATTGCGTTCACAATTATTAAAGCAGTACAATTTAAATTCTATAAATTAAAACATTGGAATATTCCAAAATATAAAACATGATATCATCGAGCAATATAAAATTGAAGTCTATGACTTTTTCAATATATGGATAATAGAGGGGTACGGTTTTAATTCTCAATGAATGGTAAACTATAAAGCCGCATTCATTTAATGGAACAAACATTTCTTGGTTTGTTCAAAACAGGTCTTGAACCTGTCTTGCTGTAGTACGAATTCGAATCCAATTGCAAGGGGATCCAGATGAGACGGGATACTAGAGAAGCGTTGCCGAAAGATCCAGCTTACCTGCATATGACTTGAAGTTGATGTTTTCGATATGAGTGATCATTAGCCTAGGCCCACAGGGGTCGTAGGTTGCGACGGATGGCATCGCCGGTGGCACAACTATATCTTCATCCATGTCCTCCCCATCCTCACCAACCAGCTGATCGGTCTGAAAGCATGGAGGAATTATTATTATTATTATTACTGTTATTAAATTGTTATTGCATGTAATTCACAAACAAGTACATGAATAGTCCCTTTCATAGAGAAAAAATGTGGTGGATCAAGCAATAGGAACAGCATAGTACTATAGTCTATAGACTTGTGACGTGAAATGCGATCAAGGAAAGACAATATAGGTAACGTGGATCCAATTACAAAGTAAAAAGCGGCAATTTAGCAGCAATTGCTATAATTACCTCCATCTCATCTGCTGCCTGTGATGACTCGGGACCTGAACCAGGATCGGGTGGCTGCTCCTGCTCGTCTGGTTCCTTTTCTTTTCCTGTGTCCGCAGCGTCATCGTTGCTCGGTTTAGCCTTGCGATGTCGTGCCATACCGGTGACACGTTTACCGACTCCCGAGTCCTGAGGCGTGTCCACTAACTTTAACCACTAAAATTTAACTAACTGTTACTAGTGTTGCACTGTCTTAGTAGCTTTACAGACAGTACTGCTAAGTCAATAGGTGTCTAACTGTCTATCCAAGTTATTTTATTGGTTTATCGTTGGAATCGCGGAAGACTGCTGAACAAGCTTTTTGACAATCGGCCCGCCAGAATGCGCTCAAATTACAGCCGCCTTCTTGCCTAGTAGCTCATCCAAAAGATCATTTCGCATGTATATTTGAGGAATTTCTGTAATTTGAGCGCATTCTGGCGGGCCGATTGTCCAAAATGGCAGGTGTAGCTTGTTCAGCAGTCTTCCGCGATTCCAACGATAGTTGGAAAGTGGCGTCACCTGCAGGAACACCGGAGTTGTAACTGATTGAAAATGGTGAGTTGTGGTCCGTGCAGCGGCGAGTTAGGCACCATGTTAATATATATATAGTCAATGGCCGCGTGTGTGCTGTACGTGCGGGCTTGTTCTTGCTGCCAGTGATTCTGACAGCCTTTTACATTACGGGGCAAGGTTCGCGAACGCAAGAATTTCGTCAGTCTTTGTGTGATTTCGCGTGACGCAGCTTGGTTACGAACAGAGACAGTATGTTTTTATAACAAATGAACACTGTTCTTGACAGAGAAACAAAGATGGCAGCTGTTGGATGTGTATTCGTGCTGTGAAAGTGTAAAATCAAGCGAGCGTCAAGCGAATTTTGCGATCCCGCTTTCCTACCTGCTATATATGTATTATAGGTGTCAGTGTGCACAGTGCAGACGCGTGAGTAATGGCGGCAGTCAGTGTTTGTTGCACATAGGATTTGGATGGAATTTACAGGAAACTGTCGGCAATAATACTTAATAATATTATTATTAAATAATAAGTGAAAGAGAGTATTAATATCTATTATTATACTGTATAGAAACATTAAGAATTTGGTAGTAAATAGATTTCGTATTTAGTTAGCATTATTATTATATTTTAATTTTTATTGAAACGCTTCAAGTGCCTGTGGTGTGAGATTGATGTCCGGACGCGTAGCCTAGCGGCTCTTCGTCCGGAACCGGTCGCGTAGCCACGGCCTTAGCTCTAGTACTATAGCCCGCTTACATTAACTGCCGCTGGCAGCGGCCAGCGGCAGTTAATGTAAGCGGGCTATAGTACTAGAGGCTAGAGCTACCACGGCCTAATCAATTGACAATAATCTAATAAACCGCAAATCATATACTGTATAGCCTATAGGCCTACGGCATGCTATTGATAACATTTCAGAAGTAAATCTTTGACTATACGGCCTGTGTTATCTTACCTTTTAACGTGTGAATAAGTGTGACCTATTGTCAAATATCGAATTTGTTCTGTTCAGTTGAGTATCTGTTCAAATTGGGGATTGTTGATCTAAAAATGGCGCGCAACGGAGAAAACTGAAATGTTCCGATTGGCTGTGACCGCACTGCCCTCTAGCTCAAATAACACGTGAGCATCATCCTCTAAGGCTCGGCATTTCCAACAAAATGGTACTGTATTATTTCATCTCTACAAATGGGCACAAAACTACTTCTATAGTTCGAAAATAGTGGAAATTTTAGTTTATCGTTGTTAAGTAACATATTATCTTTCATCAAAGTTGTGTTTAAGTGGCCTGAATTAATGATAAAACCTACTTTTTGGATGGAAGAGAGATGTCAAAACACGGTGTCTCTGACTATTAATTACAAGCGTGTTCCACTGTTTGTCACAGGTACTTGAAGCGTTTCAATAAAATATAATGCTAAATAAATACGAAATCTATTTACTACCAAATTCTTAATGTTTCTATACTCTCTTTCACTTATTATTGCCGACAGTTTCCTGTAAATTCCGTCCAAATCCTATTTTCAATGTATTTCACTATTTGCAACATGCTTGCGGGCGCCATTCCTCACGCGGCTGCACTGTGCACACTTACACTTATATAGCACTGATTAGCAGGTAAGAAAGCGTGCTGCCCAAATTCGCTCGACGCTTGCTGGATTTCACATGATTACAACACAAATATTCAACCATTCTACTCCATCTTTGTTTCTATTTCAACAACAGTGTTCACTTGTTATAAAAACACTGTCTCTGTTCGTAACCGAGCGGTGTCACGTGAAATCACACAAAGACTGACGAAATTCTCGTGTTCGCTAACGTTGCCCAGTAAATGTAAATGGCTGTCAGAATCAGGAAACGCCCACTGGCGCTCTTCGTAATCTCATTCTTGCGCCGCAACGCTCCAATGGCGAGGCTCGTACAGGAGTTGGAAAGCAATGCGGCGCCTATAGCCCATAGACTGGTACTCGCTCCCACCTCTCGGCTTAGCTTAGTTACTCGATGGGTAATCGAGGTGGGAGCGAGTACCAGTCTATTTAGCCCTGTACTTGCAGCCATTTACATTCACTGGGCAACGTTAGCGAACGCGAGAATTTCGTCAGTCTTTGTGGGATTTCGCGTGACACAGCTCGGTTACGAACAGAGAAAGTATGTTTTTATAACAAGTGAACACTGTTGTTAAAATAGAAACAAAGATGGAGTAGAATGGATGAATATTTGTGTTGTAATCGTGTGAAATCCAGCGAGCGTCGAGCGAATTTGGGCAGCACGCTTTCCTACCTGCTATATATATAAGTGTCAGTGTGCACAGTGCCGACGTGTGAGTAATGGCGGCCAGTAGCGTGTGTACATAGAGGATTTGGACGGAATTTACAGTAAACTGTCTGCAATAATAGGTGAAAGAGAGTATATAGCCGAAACATTAAGAATTTGGTAGTAAATAGATTTCGTATTTATTTAGCATTATATTTTATTGAAACGCTTCAAGTGCCTGTGCTGTTTGTGGTGACTCTACTGACGAATCACAATACTATTAAACCATTACTCGGGGAAACGAACGGATACTAATAAATGACGTTATCTGCAATTAACTTATTTGCCATGAAGCGCAAGTAGTATACAGTATACTTTACGCATGTTCACAGTTAGATTGTTTATGTCAATTATAAAATATAAATCTTATACTTCAGCCACCTAAAAAAGACACCAAAGGCAAGCAGGATCCGAAGAAGGCAGGTGCCAAGAAGAAGGAGGGAGGAGGAGGTGGCAAGGCCAAGAAGAAGGTATTGAGATTGTTGCATGCCTTAATAATTGTTCCAAACCATACGTTACGTTGCAAACTCACTAAGCTATTTTGTGCTATCGTGTGTCGCCGAAGTGTTGTAAATGAAGTGTGCTAATGCTGTGAAATGTTACACATATTTGCAGAAGTGGTCTAAGGGAAAGGTGCGCGACAAGTTGAACAACTTGGTGTTCTTCGACAAGGCGACGTATGAGAAACTGTACAAGGAGGTTCCAAGCTACAAGCTTGTTACCCCATCAATCGTGTCTGAACGCTTGAAGGTCCGAGGCTCCCTGGCGAGAGCTGGCCTAATCGAGCTGCATAGCAAGGGTGCGTATGCTCGCATTTTCCTATAATGTTATGCATAGGCAATGTTGGGTGGTTGGAGGTGCTGTGCTGGTAGCAAACATGGGGTTAGAAAAAAGGGTCAGTGGTTTTATCGTTAGAGGAATGTCTAGTGAAAGAGAGTGCTGGGCGTTTTTCTAGCAGTTATGCGTGGAAGGATGAGTTATAGGCACCGTCCTACTGCCGTCTACTTTGCCACGCAATTTACTGCACGTACAATTATTATGTGGTTGTCGAATTGCTTGTTAATTAACTAATATGGACCTGCTACTGTTGCGATTAAAATACCAGTTAATTTATTGAGAACGTTTTGAGTAATCTGCAAGTGTGCACATAACAGTAAGCAAAGGACAAGTTGAGCATGCTACATTTATTTCCTCGTCGAGTTGGTACTTTCATGTTTCCCTGCAGTACCACTCAATTCTCTTAGCCTGTCAATGTTGTCAATGTTAACCTTACTGTTGTTAACCATGCTGTATCATTACTTATAACTGGCACTTATTGGTTGTTTTATATTGCTGCAGGTCTTATTAAACTTGTGTCCAAGCATGCCAGCCAGGTCATCTACACCAGAGCCACGAAGGCTGCCACAGAAGAGGACGAGGCGGCGGCGGCGGCGGCGCAGAAATAATTGTGCATTTGTTGCGCATAACTATTTGGTGTACAGTTTTAATCAACAGTAATGTAATTGCCTACTGAACATGTGGAAACTTTTTGTTGGCGTTTTATTCGTGTCCGATGCAATTTACACTACGAACGTAATAATCATTTATAACATCAGAAGTAGATATAGGGAATATGTAAACGCATTGCAAGTTGCGTGCAAGACCTTTATTCCAAATTAATTTTGGCAAATACCATAGCCAACACTACACATTGCTCATAATGTGATTTATAAGACGACAACAATAATAATAATAATATAACTTTAGAAAGAGCTATAATCAGCAGTTGAGATGACAAAAAGTAACCTTGTGTACATTTTACTGATGGGTAAATCTTTTAATTCACTTGATCCTAATATCACCTAATCAATGGCAGCAGCAGTTTACACGAATACCATGAAAAAAATTACCCGCGTTTTATAAATGAGCCATTTTTCATTTGCTTACATTATTTTTACCCTGGTACACTTACAACTGTTTCTACAAGGTGATTAGCATTTACGGGGTAATGTTGAATAGGAGACTGAATGTGGAATGACAACACCTGAAGGGTTTAATGAGGCAAAAGACCAATACTTTCAGTCTCATTGCTACACACATTCATACATACGCCTTTTCGGTACACGTATAACACGACATCCAGTAGCCAGACGTTTCTTATAACAAAAAATGCAAGAGAATTTATCGCACTATACAGAATATTTACACGGCCGTAAAAGTCCAGCAGCTGGGTTAGTAGACGCACCGGCCACGCCGAGACACTTACACAACTGCAAGACTATTCAAAGAGAACATATTTTTCATTGAACACCTGCCAACGAACACAATAATCCAGTACCGAGAGTCTATCATATAACAGCAATATACACGCAAGCACGCTTCGAATATTTGAGGTTCACGTACAACATCTGTATAATAACGTAATGTGTGTAATGTTGATATATACATGCATTCTGACAACGAATTCTACGTTCATCGACCGCTCTGCGGACGTCTGCACAGGATCCTCAGTAGAATCGGCCACCTGGTTGGGAGGCGTACGCAGATCGTGGCACCCCCTGCTGGCTCGTGTAAACCGACGGCTGAAAAATATCAAAAGAAACATCATGCAAAGCACGCTCAAATTTAACTGGTTTTTATTTTGCGTAAATGATTTTAACTCGCGCGCGCTCCGTCACGTTACGCATCGGATTCGGGGAATAGCTTACGTGCTGTCCGGTCGGCAGACTAGAAGAGGATGCTTGGTAGACTGTCGTCGCGACCTGCGGGCGCGCCATCGGGTATCCGTGAACGATGCTGCCAGTCTGCGAAAGACGGACGCCAGCACGTTTAAATATTTACCGATGTCTAACAGTGTTACTGCTGCCTTTTTAAATGCAAGTTACAAACAGCATTTTGTGTTTTGCCATTTCTCATCCCACAGATGTCTCAGCTGTCACTGTTTAGAATGCAACGACCACCTAGACGCGGCTATTTTTAACGATACCAGCATGTTACCGATTCTTAAATTTTTTTAAGCTAAAAGATTCACATGCAGTTAAATTGATTATTAATTATTTATTATATGTAATTTCTCATCATTCGAAACATTGGCATAAGTTGTGTGAGAAGGCACCAACAATCTTGAATTCCTCTTACATACTTGTGTGGATCCGACGACACAAGGGGAAGTTGCAATGATGCGATTCATAGCAAAGTTTACCTTTCCGGCCTGCTGCATGTGGTGCATGGTCTGGTGTGGCATCATCGACGGCTGAGTTGCCCTCACAGAGTGCTAGACAAAACACAAGAACATGATTTCAAGATGGGGGCACTTACCATCTTGCCCTCCCCTCGCTTCCTTACCTCGCACACCCTCTCACTGCTTTTCACATTGGCATATGCATGTCTTGCACCGCTACCATAAATGCCACGCAATTACTAGAGAGTGATTCAAATATGATAAACCTTAAGAGATGGGAGTGAAGCGAAGGTCTAATCGAGGTAACGCGTAAGGTAAGAGGTGAATAAAGGTGGGGTCGGTACCTGCTGCATGCTGAAATACTTCTCCTGATCAGTCATCTTATGCGGATCAGCGATCGGACCAGCGTAACCTGCGAGAATGCGAGAGATCGATGAAACCTGCTGCCACACACGCAAAATAACACCGGCAGACTGCCTTGCATATGGATTAGAACCAAGCCACTTCTAGAGAGACAGACTAAGGAAGTGGGAATGATTCACCTGAAATCCTCCCTCGATAGCACTCCCTTCCTTCTGAAATCTTAGCGTAATGCATGCTTTTGACGCTAAATGCGCCTTCAATCAACCCGCACGAATAAACATAACTACTGCGGATACCACAGCGCGACAGCCATACTCCTATCCAAACTGCATGCAGTGCCCCTTCGCTCACTCAGGATACCACTGCCACAATGCTAGCACTATTTTTAAAGTGGGCAGAGCTCGGGGGAAATCCAGCGAATGGAGATTCGTAAACAGCGTATGATTTGAAAGAGGTAAATGGGCACACACTCCGCGTACTATTTCGTATCACTATTTTATCAAATTTGTCATGAAATAACGGTCGGATTTTTAATATCTTTGCAACTTTTATTAGTCCAAATCTTATTACATAGGATACGAGTAACGTGCCTGCTGTAAAACGTGTAGTAAAAAAGCGTTACAAATTGTAACCGAAATCTACTTGTGGCAGTGGTAGATTGAGCCCATGAGCGAGAGCGCCATCTGTCGTGGAGTTTGACTCCTATCACCCCCTTTCTCAGTTTATCTATTCTACTCACCTGGCTGCTGCATGTGGGATACCCCGTATGCAGAGGGAGCCACGTGCTCAGACAACTTGCTCTGCTGACCGTAGTGACCAGTGTAAGGACCGAAGGACGCCGCCTGGGCCGCGGCGTACTTGGGGTGCGGAGGATACTGGCTTTGCGCAGGCGACGGGTAGACCTGCGAGCTTCCCTGGGCAGATGAGTAGCGCACCTCCATCTCTCTCATCTCTGTCAAACAACGACGGCCGTTTAAGACGGTTTATTCCAGGTTGGCCTACTCCCATTTCGCCTACGGCAAAACTCCCATTTCACGTACAGCAAAATTCCCCGTTGGCCTACTCCCAATTTGTCTACGCTCAAAATCTACCCCATTCCCATTTCGTCTACGATCGGTTTGTTCACTAAATAATCATTTATAAATAATAAAATATGGTTTTGATTGGCATACATAGACTACAGGAACCAGAAGAAAACATAGGTACAAATAATGAGAACACAACTTGTACAATGTACACTGTAGTACAATGGGAGTAGGCGAAATGGGAATATTGTCGATTCTGAGAGTAGACGAAATGGGACGTAGGTAAAATGGGTGTAGTCGAGATGGGAGTAGGCCAACTGGGATGTTACCGCTTAGACATGACGACTCTGGCAGTCTGGCGTAACGAAATGCGATTCACCACAAGAGTTACGTGAAGGCGTCTGCGACGTAACTAACAGTTACACTACACATGCAACATGGGAAACCAATCACACAATGTCGCTTATAACGACGGTTAATTCGCCTCGTTTGATTGTTGCCAACAGACAGATAGCAATTTAGTAAGATGTTTCCAGATCTCTCATTCGCACTCCCTCAAGAAAGTAAATCACTATTACGCTTCCAGCAATATCCAGAGTTCCCTCTCGATTGTATGTAGCTTCAATTCCCTTGCACCACCTCGAGAAAATAAACCCATGCTACACTTTCAGCGATATCCAGAGTTTCCTCTCAATTGTATCAGAAGTAGAGAATACAGGAATAGGGAATTCTCTATTATCAGATACCCTATTATCGGATAATAGGAAATTCCCTATTGTCGGATACCCTATTATCGGATAATAGGGAATTCCTTATTATCGGATAATAGGGGATTCCCTATTATCTACTTCTGATTGTATGTAGATCCAACTGCCCTTGCACCCTCCCTCATAAAAACAAGATCACTAGCAGATCATGATCGTGTCGATGAGTACATGCGTCTGCCCTTGCTGAGAACAACTCTCACTCACTCTGCGGAGACGACGAGTAGGTGGACTTTGTCGTGCTGGGATAACTCGTCGCTGTCGACTGGTAGGGCTTGCTGGTGTCCGCCGTGCTGTACACCGCCGTCTGGTAGAGCGAGACGGGCGTCGGGGAGGTGCTACGAGGACGCTTAATCGCCGCCTGCAATAATCGACGACCAAAACGTTAGCCGAGTACAGACGTAAACCTCTCATAACACAAGCGCGTGATTAGTTAGGGGTAGCGAGCAGTCCAGGTTCGACACACTCACACTATTTGCCATCGCTGTGAGGTGGTGGATCTCATTATGGTGCCACAGACTTTTTTTTAACTCTATGGCTCTGGAGGGTGTGGTAAGTGGCAACCATGACAGATCGTAGCCACCGGCTACAATACTCGACATTACGCGTGGCACAATAATTAATTTGCTTAGAAATTAGATTAAGACTAATGAAAAGTACAAACTGCAGGTCTGAGATGTTTGGAAATGAAACTCAATGTGATGTAATCTCGGCAAGTGGCAGTGAGAGGAGTGTTGTTATCAACGATATAAGATTGTGATCTCAAAACTTTTCTTACATGCTCTCTAACGATTACTGAACTAAAAGGTAGCATGTAAGTGGCTTGAAAGTAACATGGTTTCAAAACGCCAGCTCTTGCGACGCAAACTGCAAATACTTCTTAAACAGCTGTGGAAGCCACCCTTAAATTCAACCCCAACGAGTAACGGAATGAAGACATGGGCAACGTACAGACATCATTTGCTGCTGTGTCGCTGCCTTGTACAAACTTGCTCGCTGCTGCATTGCTACTGCAGAGTGACCGCCACCTGTCAACACATGAAGCAAACACAAACTTTTACTTCTGCTTGTCTTTCAAATTTCTTTGCACAGAAGCAAGGGGCAGGGAATGTAATCCTGCTATTCTATTCTACAATTCTACAGCTATTCTACTACTCTACTTATCCTAGGGTACTACTATACTATTTTATTCTGCTATTCTATCTATCCTTTTTTTTTCTTTTTCGCCGACCAAGGTGGGCATGATGTTGCTTCCTTGAGTCGGGAACACTTTTTGTTCTATCTATCCTAAAGTACATTATATACTATCTATTCTGTTATTCTAGAGTTCTATTCTACTTGTACTGATTCGTATTATTCTAGGGTAGCAAATGCCATAATAACAGCTTACCCTGCAAATATATGTGAGGTGGTGCCCCCATGTGGCCAGGAACTTGGTATGGAGCAGGAACCATGTCACTGGCAAATATAATGGTAATTGTTAATACCGCAGACGTGTTAAAAATATAATGGTAATTGTTAATACCGCAGACGTGTTAAAAATATAATGGTAATTGTTAATACCGCAGACGTGTTAAAAATGCAGTTTTATTCATCAGAAATGATTATTATATCTCGAGAGCACATCAAAGTGCTGCTTGGCATTAATCACACAGCAAGTGACCTTCTCCTTCCCCTTCGTTTGCAGATACCTCTTTTCAGGGGCCAGTGCTTTCCTCCTGTTCCCCTCCTCATGCAGTACTTTCTTCAGCTGGAGAAACAGTTCGTGTTTCTCCTGTTTTAACGTCTCTAGCTTATTGTCCATCTCTCCCAGCTGAAATTAATTGTAGTTAATTAGTTATAGTTAATTAGATATAGTTAATTTATTTATTGACACTGGCTGATATTAGATGACACAGCAGATGAACAGCTTTCTACGTCTGAACTCACGTAAAAGACACGATAAAGATTTAATCAATGATCAGGTGTTAGGACGTCCAATAACTTAAGAAGACTATTTAAAGAGGCATATAGCGAGCATAGTGTGCATTTGAACGAGAACGACGTAGCATGCCAAGATTTTTTAATGCTACAGTACCTGTTCCTTGGTTTGTTCAATCGTCATCTTTTCCTGCTTAGCCTTTGCCTCTCTTTCCTTCTTCAGTCTCTGCACAGCAGCATCTGCTTCTTGCTCTGTGTAAAGAAAAATAAGAAAACTTTGTTTCTCTTGCTGTTCCGGAAGAGTGATATCACCTTCACTTGATGTAATTATTAAAAAATATTGCTGCATAGGGATAAATTTGATATTATTACGTATATTAACGCATTTGCTGATCCTGCAATGGATAATAATTAATATAGGCATTCCTATACTACTGTACACATTCGTTTACGGCGGCATCGCGATAGGTCAATCGTACGTAATACACGTCGAGACACTCTGTAAGATTACCTTGCTTTTTCTTTTGCCGCTGTCCCATGATGTGCACCTTGAGTGAGTCATACATTGCCCTCGTCATTTTGGGTCTCTCAATCACCATCGGAACGGGCATGGCGAATCCCTGGCCACAACTCTAGACTGTACACTCACTATTCAAAATAAACATCAATAGCACACGGCAGTGTTATTTGTACTGTCGAAAAGCAAATGCATAACCGATCTTCATTCCACTCTAGTATTTTTTATTTTATTTTTTTTATTTATTTAGGCAATTATCCATCATATACAATACATAGCATACTTTTATAATAAAATTCTGAATTCATAAAATTGGATAATTACCAAGGATATATTATACACAAAAAGCATGACTAGCACACTTATTTACATTGTCCTTGGTAATTGTATGACTCTTGATCAATGCGTATGGGTTCTTAAAATTATGTAAATAACAATACAACTTATGCTAGCCGCACACTATCCGATTTTGCACTGTGCACAGCACTAACACCCCGCACACTATCCGACCCGATCCCGATCGATCGGGAGGCCACCGCACACTGTCCGACTCAAAGTTGACGCAAACCATGGCACTCTCGTGG